AAGCTGATGTTAACATTTTTTCTGCGAATAACTGAGTATTTGTTGTTTGCAGTATAGTAAAATATAATTATTTGTTTTGCTGAAGTAATTGTATATGATACTAAACACACTGTATTTGGTTGTTGTAGATGTTCATCTATCTCAGAGAGCACTTTTAAAGTTTTACCACCACCTTATCAGAGTGCTGAAAAGTGGAAGTCCGAGGAAACATAACTTGCTGCAAAACAATAACACAAAAGGTACATTATTTCTTTTTCCTCACAGTAACGTTACCAACTTTGGGAAACGCAGCTAATCTGAAGTTACTGATATTTTCCACATTTTATCATGCAGGTTCTTATGATTGATTGATAAATAAATAAATATTTTGTACTGTCACTGCAGGTCTGGACTATGGAGTGCAGCATTACTTGTTTGGTCATCTACATTCAGATGAAAACACCACACTCCTCTCTAATTCAAGTAAGTTTTAAGTCCGCGCTTGTTTACATCAGAGTGCGCAAGCGTCTTTCATGCAGCATACAGCGGTGTTGTGCATTTTGACCAGTTGATGGGAAAAGTATTCTTAAAATTCATTCAAAATTCGGAATAATTTGTAATATATAATTATTCACGGTATTTAGAAGTGCCCACGATAACAATATCGTGCATATTCATTACCATGATATATCGCATTACCGACTACGGGCACAAGTCTACATGGGTCCTTTGTTTTTATTGTTTAAATGCTTATCTGAATGTAAAATTTACATTTAATGCTTATAAATGTAAAAACAATACTACTAGTTAGTCTTTTCTCTCCCTTTCCAGAAATGTGGTTCACCATCTTTCATGGGTTACAGAATTGGCAAAAGTTGCAGTATACAAAAAGAAAAAGTCAGACTACTTGGTTTATAGGAGAATGTGGAGTAAATACTTAACATTTATTTAAGGTAAAGGGTAATGACCTGGTGGTGAGATGCAAAATAGGACTGTCATTAATATACTATTTGATGACTCTTTCACATTCTTATTTTACTTATGCATTTCATTATTTTTAATTCTTTTTGCAAGTCAACTTTCAATTTATTTATTTGTGCAAGTTAACATTCAATTTTTATTTTATTTTATTTTTTTGTGGATTGTCAACATATATTTGTGACTGACATGTTGGATGGGTGAGTAAGGTGGAGGTGGTTGAAAAAACTATTTCTAAAATGGAGAGTGCTATTTTAGAGAAGTAAAAATAATAAAAAAGTATGAATAAAGGAAAATGGATTTATGTTAATCCCTGTAACTGTTGCACTATGAATTGCTGTGTTATATATTGCTTGTCATTGTAAACGCTAAGTCTTAAATGATCACACAACACCTTGATGTTGTTATGCTTATTTCAGTTTTTCTAGTGATAAAGTAGCTATATGGGCTGTTTAAGTCTTAAAATTTTATTAAAATAAAACAAAAATTAAATCCAAAGAATAATCCCATGATGGGAACCCCTAAAGGGTTCTATATAGAACCTTTTTCCAGGCTACAAAGAACCCTAAAGGGTTCTTTTGATTGAACCCTTGAAAAGGGTTCTATATGGAACCTTTTAGGGGTTTCATATATGAAGCGCCTGATAGAACCTTTTAAGGTTCTATATAGAACCGTTTCTTCTAAGTGTCATTTTCCATCACCTTTCACTGTCCTGTCTAATAAAAGTCTAAAATGGGTGATTCTAATTCCCATCACTGAGTTCTTGGCCTCAGCATTCAAAGCCTCACTTGTCCTTTATTCCACCTTTTCCAAATTCTCCTCCATCATTCTGAAATAAGAGACTGATGGCTGCTCAGATGGCCTCCCTTGGGCAGCGGAAGAGAACACTGAAGGAAAAACAGATCTGGGAAGGCTGAGAGAGCTTCCCGGCTGCCAGTGTCATCATGGCTCCGGAGCTCAGCTGCAGGGCCCTACAGGACTGAATTGTATTTCTCAGCTGTGATAAAGGGCTCTAAACTTCTGATTTGATACTGTGCTGAAAAGGATGATTAGTGCATGAATTTAGCACCACATAGGCATGAAGTACACACTTCTGATAAAGGGCTTGACATCTGATTTGAAGTGCACACTACAGCGTAAAGGAGCTCGTATGAGATCTGCCCTAAGGCAGGGGCTACGCAGAAACTGAAGTACAGTAAGGGCTATCAGTGTAGCCACAGGCTCTGTGAAGATGAAGAACAATCACAAGGCACAGGACTACACACACAGTTACGTTTATTCAATACTACACTGTAAAAAATGATTTTTGTTGCAAATAAAGATTACAGGAGTACGTTTTACTTTAAGAAATTACTATTTCAGTCACTCCAATTTTTCACGTTTAATTCAATGTGACCATTTCTTTGTAATTATTTGTTAAATGCACTAGCAATTTCGGAGGGAAAATTGTTTCAAAGTCAATCCTACACCAACTTTTTTTTTTTCAGTTCTGCAAATAAAATACAATTTATGATGTTGATAATAGATATTTCATTTTCATTTAACACTCCTGTCAAGTTTTCTAAACAATTTTGGGTGTAGTTATTATAGAAATTATTTACTACTCTCGTTTTCTGTTACACAAAGATGTTGACACACTAATTTGAAAATGTACAAAAGGTAGAAAAACAATCTCTTGCAAGTTTGGTTTATTATTCAGTCTCATTACTGCCATGTGCCACAGAGATGCACCAATCAGAAAAAACATTCATTATTGATGACCATAGCCTGCAGGCAACCAGCTGAACTCTCAGATAGATAGATAGATAAGAAATAGAGGTGCACAGCTCTTAAAAGATTTTAAAGTTCTCAGAGAACATCTTTGGTCCATTTGAATCCCCTGCAGCATAGAGCCCAGAAGCGCTGTGTGTGGCATGCATAAGTGTGCACGTGTGTGTGTGTACACATAATAAACACACAACCCCCAACATGTACATTTATGAAAGAAAAAAAAAAGATTAATTTACTCAAGATGTGCAGATGGCCATTCATGGGGTGCATTACGTGTTCTATAGAGCTGAACTGGCCACCTATTACCACTCATACTGAATGAGAGTGGAAATATTTGATTAATGCTCAATGTGTTTTGGCTGACAGATGAAGTGATGAGGAGAAAGAGTGTGACGGTCAGCCTGGCAGCTACAGATATGCAAGCAGCCTAATAATGAAGAATATGCAGCAGTGTGGTCTGAGGAGGTAGAAGAATCTCTGTCTTGTACACAAATACACACACAGCTCTATGATTTGAATAAAATGACTGTTGAGTGTAAATGGGAACCTAATGTAACGGAGCAGCCAACAGTCTCCATTAGGAAAATGACCTAGACTAAATGTCTTACTAAAAATGTAAAAATGCAAAATGGTTTGTGTGAGTCTTATGTTTAGGGTTAGGACATAAAAAAAATATTGTTGCGGGAAACAATTGAACGTTTTTGTGTCAACCTGCCACATGTTTTTTTAATTTACTTTTTTTTACTTCCATTTCTATTATAAAGTAGAATCTACTATATAAAATTTCTTAAAGAACCATCCATACTGGATACACATAGTAACAGGAAATGAAGCCAATGAAATCTTAAACATAAAAATGTAGCCTACTTAAAAATCCACACATTTCCAGAGCTAAAAATCACATTCCGGACTTGCCACATACTGTGTGTGTGTGTGTGTGTGTGTGTACAGGTATATATGGTTTATGAGGACACAAATGTGTATAATGACATGGGTACTACAACGTAAACATGGTTTATGAGGACACTTCCTGTGTCCCCGTAAAACAAAAGGCTTAAAAAACATACAAAACGGTGTTTTATGAAATTCAAAAACTGGCAGCAGTTTCCTGTGAGGGGTAGGTTTAGGGGTAGGGTTGGTGTAGGGCAATAGAAAATACAGTTTGTACAGTATAAAAACCATTACGCCTATGGAGAGTCCCCGTAAACCACAAATACAAGTATGTGTGTGTGTGTATACATATATATATATTCATGAGAGTTTTAGATTTTTGATCACATGGAGTTCATAGTACTGTACTTTTTACAGTTTTACAGCTCCTTTTATTAATACAAACCTAATTTCAAGACTATTTTGCCTCAAAGTATGCATATTGTCTCGTTAATACATTGTCTTGTTGAATACAAATGTTCTCTTAAATTATAAAAGGTCATTCATACACTATAAAAAAAAAAGAATTTACAGGAAAAATTTCATACATTGTTATACATATATACATACTCTTTTTTTTTTCTAATCGTAGGATATGGTAAACAGGTTTTTACTATAGGATTTTTATCTATTAATTTTCCTATAGTTACAAACATTGTTTTACAGTGAGTGTTACTCTAAGATGTGTCAATATAAAACGAAAGAATTACAGAACACAAGCAGTTCTATGTACTTCACGTAAACCTTTCCGCGCGGCTGCCATGCAGGTACGCACTAGAACGCAACACTACATGACGTCATAATTGCCGATATTGAGTCCGATACAGTTAATGTTATAGAAACAGAACGATTTATTTATTATGACGCGTTTTGCCTGTGCACTTGCATTTAATGCGTGCGTAATAACTTCTCCATTTCCACGTCCCTATATCTTCAATCTCCAAAAGCGTAGACGTATAAAACACTTTGAAGTCAATCGGTGTAACACATTACACCCATAAGGTTCTCTCGTTCTACGTCTAACTCGACGGTGAGATTGAAACAGTCTCACAATCAACAGTTCACTGACGCTCCTTATGGTCACTTGAGTACGGTCCAAATTCCCCGCAGCCGTAGGATCGATTGCAGTGACATGTGGAGAATTAAACCGCTTCCCACCAGATAAAACAGTGAGAGATGAGACAATGACACATAATGACACCACTGACATATGCTTTAATTTTCGTACTGGAAATCATCCTTGCAGTAGCCTGCGCCCAAACCTGTGCGCGAGCCAAGCAACGCACACACAGCTTCCAATAATTGCATGAAACTAAGCTGTCAATTATGTGCACGCTCCTTACCTCGAGAGTTTCACGGCGCAGATAAACACAGTACTTTCGGGAAAACAGCCTGTTAAAAACATTAAATCCGTAACGGTGCAGGTTGCGTGGATCTCAGCGGTGGACTCTGATGGGGTCTCGCAGTGTGAACGGAATTAAAGCCCCGGTTGCGGTGGATAGGAGGTCCCCCTACTGCCGAGTCCTCTCACTACCTTGCGCGCTTCACCGTCTGCACACACACAGTAATGCTGCAGCATCAGCTGCGCTGAGAAAAGAGCTGGACAGCTATAAACTACGGAATGGATTACTAGCTTCAATGGGTCCCGCGCTCAGATAGTAATCACATATAGATAGATGTCACTACAGAGTTTAGTTCCATCCCTAACACACCTGCTTGTAATTTTCAGGCAACCCTGTAAAGTTTGGGTAGATTTTTCAGGTGGGTTTGATTAGGGATGGAGCTAAACTCTACAGGACAGCGGCCCTCCAGGATCAGAGTTGCTTATCCCTCCCTGTATTGGATAGATAGATAGATAGATAGGTTGGTTGGTTGGTTGGTTGATTGATTGATTGATTGATTGATAGATAGATAGATAGATGGGGCTGGGTGGGTGGATAAATGGATGATACATGGATAGATAATAGGCCTATACTATAATTTACCCCTCAGAAAGTTTGATACATTGAGTAATATGGATCTCTCTGATTCATGATCCTGATCTTGGGGATCCACTTCATGTTTTGTATGTCTCATTAATTCAACACACCTGATTCAAATAATCAGCTCCTTAGCAGAGAGCTCCATGACCTGAACTGGAGGCCCATTTCAAGTCTTGAAGTCAGATAACGAATCAATGTAAAAGGATGTTAAAAAGGTACTGGAAAATTGTTGGGAGTATGAGTATGGAAGTTTTGGTGGGATAGTAAATAAGGAAGCACAGGAAATGAGTCTGAAACAACTCCTTCTGCTGTAATTCCAACTATACCCCCATCATTATACTAATGCCAGGGGTAGGCAAGTTCGGTCCTAGAGAGCCGCTGTCCTGCAGAATTTAGCTCCAACCCTAATCAAACAAACCTGAACAGGCTAATCAATGACTTCAGGATTACTAAGGCTATATATATGAAGGTGATTTTTTTTTCAATTCACTTAAGGATATGTTTAGAAAGGGAATGTTTGAAGTTAGAGTTTGGGTTCTTCTCATTTTTAATTTGTGCATCCTCGTTTCCTTTTCTTGCATCTTAGCATCCCCCCCCCACCCCTTAGGATATGAGGGAAGGATGCAAGGAAAGAAAATGAGGACAGAGGAATCAAAGGAACTTTTATTTGTACATTGGAATTTTCTTGACCACTCAAGCGTCACTTCAAAGCTTCATCAGCTGCACTAAATGGATGTGGCCTTATGTTGAACAAGTTTGTTATTTAAGACATTCATAATAAATATTTATAAAGCAAGATGCCTTGTTGAAATAAATTACATGTATGTTTTAATTAAACCGCAAAGGTAAAATGTAAATTAAAATTATTACGACAGATGTGAAGAGGGAGGAGAATTTTCAGGTTTTTCACCAAAAAAGACTTCCGCATATAGAACATACAGGAGATATCTCCTCTGGAAGCATCCTTGTTCCTCGCCTCCTCGCGGTGCAATTAGAGAACTGAGATGTCCTTCAAGATGGCTGAGTTTGATCGGTTTCTGGGTCACAGGCTCGAGGACGGAGGAGCGAGGAAATGAGGAAGCCTCAATTTGAGTATTGAGAAGCACCCAATGTTTTTTTCTTTTAGCTTCCAACAAGGTTGCACTCCATACTCCAGTCCAGTAGGTGGCAGAAATGCACCTTCTAGATGGTTTACCAAGCACAGTATAAACAACAGACGAAGAAGGTCTGAGATTATCTGCTAGGGCTATACCACTTACTTTTTTAATGCCTTTCCCTTGCTAACCTCCCTCTGTCTCATTGACTCGGATGTACACCATTGATTACGTTGCAAGAGTGCCCACTACCGGCAGAACACTTGCAATGGGTTGAATTGGAGCATCCTAAGACCTTGATCACCTTGATCAATCCACTATGGATTTGATTTGTTATTTTGTTTTTTTCCCCCCTTATGAGTTATTTGATGCAGCATTCTGTAAGTATATATGTATGCTTGGGCTTGTTAAAATATTTGTAAAAACTAATTAATATATTGCTTGGGATGGGGGTAAATTAAATGCGATCTGCGGTGACGTAGCAGTTGTGTTGCATTGTGGTACATGTCTCTCACTCTCTCAGTCAAAATCGAGGGGCCAAGGATCTGTCCATATAAACTTCCCTCATCCACTTCACAAAGTGGAACGCACTTCAAAATGGCACCAGGATTTCCCCGAGGGGAAGTGCTAGCTTAGGTCTTAGGGGAAGTTTGTGTTCGGTTGTGTCCGAAACCACTTACTTTTCTACTATATAGTAGGGGAAAAGCAGTAGGCGAGTGAATAAGTACAGTGTGTGCCTAAAAGTGAAGTGGAGCACAGCTTAAGAAGCTGGTAAGTTGAATCAGGTGTGTTTGATTAGGGAATCATATGTTTATACATGATTTTTTGATCTGTCTCACTTACCACATATTGCAAAGGCAAGCTCCTCCATCTTAAACCTTATAACCACATAGCAGAACTGATGAAATGTGTGGTTTTGTATCACTTTAATTTGCTAATCAAACAGAGTAGCGTTTAAACTGTTGAAAGATTCAAAAGAAAATTACACGCACACCTGCAGGATATGCCTGCTGTTGGCCCTGATTGAAGTATTGAAAGGTGTAAAATTGATAGCACACACACGCATGCAGAGCTCAAAAACATGCACACAAGGGTTTCAAAAAATTTAATAATAGCCATTAAAATTTATGAAATATAACAGCATTCAGTCATGTGTGCCCAGACATGTGGCTGCTACTGTATGTATTTGTCCCTTTCACATTCTCTGTTGGACTTTCTTTTGCACACACACAGAGAAATGTGTGAGGCCACTTCATCATCATTATGAGTGTGTCAAGCTGGCTGGACAGGGTGGGTGTAGTGGTGGCCAGACTGATTTAAGGGGCAACTAGGAACACAAGAAACATCTTTCCTGGGGGAGATGATAAATGAGCTTGCCTCATTTTAGAAAAAGGACAGAAAAGCCCAAAATTCACTCTGTCAAGCACACCAAAAGATTTAGTAAAAGTATTGTAATGTATCGCAATTCTTATATACTTCTTTTGATATCATTGATCATGTAGGTATAAATATTTTTACTGCACTGTAAAAAATAAATCCGTAAAATAACTGTAAAGTAGGCTACTGGCAGCTCATTACACACAACATTATCCATTAATTTTACGGACATTTCTCTTAACTCTAAAACACAATGCAATGAAGTATGAAATTCAAAATACTGGTTAAACACCTGTAAAACAATAAATACAGAAGAATTCCTTCAAATTATACTGTGCCCTATTTTTACAGATTTTTTTTAGAGTGTGTGCAAAAAGAAGAAAAAAATGAAAGGAACACTTGGATCACACATTGGCTCTTGATGAATGAAATATTCAAGTTGAAAATTTCTACTTACACATTGTGCAAATCACAATGGACAAAGGAAACCAAAATCATCAACCCACTGAGAGTTGCATTCAAAATCACACCAAAAATCAAAGTAACAAAATTAAATTACAGGCTGATCCAACTTGCATGAATTTTATCAAATCAACTCATAATGTAAAAGTCAACAATAACATACTGTTTATGGCTCCCATGTGCCTGTATGTTCTCCTGACAATGTCTAGGCATGTTCCTAATGAGATGTACTGGAGGATCTCCTGTCAGATCTGGATCAGGGCATCACTGAGTTTCACTGAGCCTGGATACTGGATTGGATACCGGATGCTCCGTTACATAATGTCCCAGAGGTGCTCAATTGGATTTAGGTCTGGAGGATATAAGGGCCAGTCAATGGCATCAATGCCTTCATCATCCAGAAACTGCCTACGTACACACTCTGGCTACATGAGGCCAGGTATTGCCACGCACCAGGAGGAACCCAGGGCCCCTTGCACCAGTGTTAAGGTCTGACAATGGTTTGGAGGATCACTAAAAAGGTACTGTTTTTAGGTATAGCAGTAAAGAGCACGCGAAGGTCTGTGAGACTCTCCAAGAATATTCCTCCCAGTACCATCACTGACCCAACGCCAAACTGGTCATGCTGGATGATGTTGCAGGCAGTATAACATTCCCCACGGCATTTCCAGACACTTTCACGTCTGTCACATGTGCTCACTGTGAACCTGCTCTCATCCGTGAAGAGAACGGGGCACCAATGGCAGACCTGCCAATTCTAGCATTCTCTGGCAAATGCCAATCGAGCTGCATGGTGCTGGGTTGTGAGCACAGGTCCCAATACAGGATGTTGGGCCCTGATGCCACCCTCATGGAGTCTGTTTCTGACAGTTTGACAGATACCGGTCCTGCTGCTGGGTTGTTGCCCTTCTACGGCCTTCCATGCTCTTGAAAGTGTGCCTGGAGTACTAGTGAGAAGGACCCTAACACAACAAAAACTAGAGACAAATCAGTCAAGATTTAGAATATCAAATATCAGTCAAGAATTTAAAATAGATGGGTTTGTTTCTTCATCTGAACAGATTTGGAGAAATGTAACATTACATCACGTACAGTAACAATGCATCCTGTACAGTAAATGGGTGCCGTCAGAATGAGAGTCCAAACAGCTGATAAAAACATCACAATAATCCACAAGTAATCCACATGACTCCAGTCCATCAATTAACATCTTGTGAAGTAAAAAGCTGCATGTTTGTAATAAACAAATTTATTATTAAGACATATGAATTGATCAACTGGAGTCGTGTGGATTACTTGTGGATTATTGCGATGTATAAACTGTTTTAACTCTAATTCTGACGGCACCCATTCACTACAGAGGATCCATTTGTGAGCAAGTGATGTAATACTAAATTTCTCGAGATCTGTTCTGATGAAGAAACAAACTCATCTACATTTTGGATAGCCTGAGGGTGAGTAAATGTTCAGCAAATTTTCATTTTTGGGTGAACTGTTCCTATGTCAGCCCTCTTTGGCAAGAAATCAGAACAATGATTTAATTGCTCTAATAACTACACTGAAAATAACAAATATGAAGCTTATAAAGCCTGGCAGTGATGTACTGCAAGAATCAGGGTTTTTTTTAACTGCTAATATTTTTTT